ATATATAATTGGTTTTTTTGTAGCCAGAAATACAGAAATCCCCGATAATTGTTTTGGCTTAGCTGCAAAAAGCGATTTGTGATTAATAAAGTTAATTGAGCTTGCTAAATATATCATTGAAAAGAAGCTGACTTAGCATAAAATGTTGCTTTAGTAAGATAAATACCTTAAAAAATATGCGAAATATCCAGATTTTGATTAATAATCCAAAAAAAAATTGATTTGAATTGCGCTTAGCTTGGCGCCGTTAAGTATACGCACTGTTGCCTGGCGAAACGAGGAACACGTGCCGGCAAAAGTCATTAATTAATGTTAATTGTTGCGCTTAACATTTTTATGACGTGCCAATGAAACGAGCCAAACAGAATTATTGCTGACAAAATGTCAAACACTCAAACACTCTTGAAAGTCAAAATTTATGTTCGCGATCATAAAATCCATGCAAAATCGAAGTGTAGACTTTGTCTTTCTACTCTACCCACGATCCAATTAGCCAACACAATAGAAGCCAATAAAAAGGTGAACAATAAAAAAGGAGATATACCGACAGACAACTGAATTTTGAAACTTTATCCCAGGTTTTCAATATGCAAAGAAATCCATGGCGGTCTATAAATTTGTGACGCACGACCTGTATCAATCACATTCGTTGTTTTATGTTGTCGGGGGATCTGGTTTCGCCTTGTGGGCTTAACAATTAAAAATTTTATTAATGCTTTAGGCATTCAGTCGTTTAGCTAATTAGATTGTTGATTCATTTAAGTCTAGCTGAAAAGCGGAACAGAAAACAAAAGAATTAGTGTCTTGTCTTCTCTTAAAAAGTTTCCAAATGAGATCAATTTTTATTACGAATTTGATTGATATAACCGGATCGCTATAATTCGAAAAAGGAGTTTGTTTTTGCACAAATTTATATATACTTTACTAAAATTAAAGCGATTCCTCATTGAATACATTATAATTATAGAAAGTCTTTTGTTTGCTTTACAATTTCTGATTTTACGTCTAGAGAATTGATTTAAAATTCCTCAACGATTTCATCACTATCCTGTTATGTGCAAATATATATGTACTCGTACATGGATCGACTTCTGATGGATGCTTCTTAGAATTAATACTGTGGGATTAGCTAAAGATTCGGGAAAGATTATTTACTTGTCTTGGTTAGAAATCAACTTGCGATTGCCAATGGTAGCCAGACAGTGTCTGTGGTTCCGGGTCGATGTTTTATGTCTGTCATTTCTGTCGTTTTTTTTATTGAATTCCTCTTATCGAGAAGTCATAATTTGGCACACGTGTGGCTCATTTAATTGTTGGCCATCGTCGGTTTTTTATCGCCATTTTCGTTGGCAACAATTGGGTTACCAAAATTTCATCATCTATTTATTGGGAATACTAATTTGAGTTTATAAACAAGACCCCCATGTAGGCAAGGTAGAAAGAGTCTGGGTAAAGGTGGCAAACCCACTTTTGGCACGTTTTTCATTCAACTCCAAACCGTATCTAAACACAATTATGACGCATTTTGATTGCCATTTCGGTTGGTCTTTAGTTTGTTTAGTTTTTGGTGTCATTGCTGTTGCTGTCTGACTTTTAGGCGCATGTGCTGAGATAAGAAAGACAATTAGCACTTTGATGGCTCGCCCATAGGGGTAACATGAGCGCGTTTGCAGTGCAAATAATAACTAAATTACTGATGGGGAAAATACCCTGAGTATTTAGTAAACTGTTTAGCTCACTTTTTTGTTATAAGAAACTAAGAATAATTTTCATTCTCATTTTTTTTAAACTAAGAAATATTTTATTAATTTTCAAGTTAACTTCTTTTTGAATTTCTGAAAATCGCTGCTCCCCTTTGCAAAATAGTGAATAGTTTTTGCTAATAAACACAAAAATCTCAGGCAAACATTGTCCGTGTAAACAATGAATGTAAGAAACAGTCATAAAGTAAACATGCTGCGGAAAGTTTTATTCGTGTATATAGATGAGATTTCTGTACGCTGGCGGCGTCTTTAAAATGTGCGGCGCGTGTAAAATTGTGAGATAAGGTCAAAAAATGAATGGAATTCCCCATAAAGATTAGACCGACATGAAGGCCACGGGCGTGACTGTAATTAGAAAGGAAAGCGAAATTTAATACAAGCCATTGGCATGGGCATAAGCTAAATATTAAGTATACGTCCCGAAGGACAGCGCATATTATTACCTGTAATCACACGAGTTTTGAGGATGCTTTTGGGCACTTTCCGAGTTAAGAAAAGCCAAATCATTTAGCTTATGAATATTTCAAGCAGACTTTTGGCTAATGCAGAATGCTGAAAGATGATGAAAGTAAACATTTAGAAAAACGAGACCCAAGTGCAATTTAAAACGCTTTCTGGGCAGAAACACACACAGAAGACGAACAAGTTGGCTATAACTGTTGGATATATTGCTGTTTGTATGTTGTTATGCACAGAGAAAAAACAGTAGTTCCTTATTTGTCTCAACTATTTTTGAAGATGCCAAACTATTGATGGGTCTAAGAATGGAAAGTGTTATGGTTAGTTCTTAGCTATGCTTGTTACTTTTCTTTTGTAAAGCTATAAAAGTTTTATAAAGTTTTTTTCTTGTGTAGTTACCCCTGTCTTTTCCAATGTCTGAGAGTGTTCTGCTTCTCATATGAACAATGAGGGCTTTGTTGGGCCCGCAGCGTTTAGCGTTACGCATGACAAATAAATTTCAGAATGGCAACGCCTTTGCAGACGGGCGGACACACACGTTCCTGTAAAATATTAAAAGCAAGTTCCCTGAACCCTAAATTTTTTGCTGTTGGATACACGTTGACAATATTCGGCTGGGTCTTGTTCTTGTCTCTCTGATGTAGCCGGCGGTCACAACAGTCTGCCTCAACAATGCCCAGAAAAATTCCCCAAAAAAAGAGATAACCATCCAAAAGAGAAAATCAAATTTCCTTTCCGTTCTGGTGGCGTGTGAAAAGTCATCGAAATAAGCAGATTCCTTTTTGTTTTGTTTTTACTTCTTGCTTTGACAGCTGACAACAGTGCGTGTGTTTTGTTTTTCGTATTTTTTTTTCTGGGGTTTTTTGTTTCTGTGGCGTGTCATGTTGAACAATTATTGGCTAATTTGTAGGCACGCAGCAGGAAATCTCATCAAAGTTGCTTGATTGACTTGACCTCGAAAACTTGCAGGTGGCAGAGCTACAGGTGTCTGTAGTGAAACGTGTCTCAAATTGCTGCCCAATCTCCCAGTTTGAGCCTTAAATCTTCTCAACGCTTAAAGCCATGTACATTTTCTTGGATCATAGCTTTTCCCTAGGAAGACGTTCTTTTGTCATTCCTCTCTCTTCCCCAATCCAAATGCTCATCCTCAATTTTCGCTTTAGGCCCGCACGCGCCGCATTAAATTTGCCACTGGGGCAATTCGTTGAGGCTTAGTATTTGCTACGCACATTTCGGTCTTTTGTTACAGACATTTCCCGGTCTCCGCTTAAGGGACAAATGGGCGCAATGGGTGCACAGAGGAAATATATTGGCCATGGGAAGCCAATGAAAAGTTTGTAGCTAAGCAATGTATTTATATTGAAAAACTGGTAGTTAAAAATAAGTTATTAATCAATAAAGAGAAGTAGAAAATAATAACATTAGACTTACAATTTCAAAGAAATAATTTCCTAATTCAGGGCAGCAGTTCTTTCCTTCAATGTCCCTAATTTTTCTCAGTGCCCTAAGCTATCGCCTCATCTCGAATCAGCCTTCTGAGGCCTTAACTATCGGATGACGGATAAGGCATAAATAATGAAAAGTAATTTCAGCGCATATTGGCGCATTGACATCGACCTGAAACCGACAGATTGAGGAAGTAAGGGGGCCTGAAAGCCCGAAAAGCGTCTTAACCGCCCACAAGTATTTTAAATATTGCGGCCAGGGCCAAAATGGGATTCGGGGGACAGGTCGGTAAAATGCCGTCAAGGGCCGCAAACATTTCATCATCGTCGCGAGCGCTTTTACCAAATGTAATTACACTCAAGAGATACACGTGCCGCCGAACAGCCGGTCGTTGTTTCGGGGGGAGGTTTTTCAATTTGAATTTGACTGCCGACAGGCGGGGCTCATCTCCACTCATCTCCTTTCATCTCTCATCTCCTGACAGCCGAAACACTTGAGCAGTTTGCCATCAATATTCCGGCCACCTCCGCAAAACTCACTTTAAGCAAGTTTGTTTACCTTTGCCGATGGTTGGTCGTTAGCCAGGATTCCGGAGGCCACCTAATGAGCTTCGGCTGTCTGGGAGCGTCATCATGAATTCCATTTCAAAGTCAAGGCTGCTCCAAAATGTAAACTTGGAGATTGGAAACGACGACGACTTGGTCTTGGGACTGAACTTTGGAATTTAGCAGGCCAGGCTTTTAATATTAGACTGGAGTGATTAATGTAGTTATAATGATTAAGTACGCCTGATCTGGAGGATAATGATTATTGGTTTAAAGAGATTTTGCTGGGCTCAATAAACAATTGTTAGGATTTAAATTTATTTAGTCTTCACATTCTAAAAAATTCCCCCAAATTAGTTTAAAAGCTTAATAACTATAAAGAATTTTCTAAGGCTAGGACTTTGCCCTTCTTATCTCTTGGAATTTCGTCTGTGCCCATTAAATGGGAATATTATGATGCTAGCGAAACTTCCGGTTCCATTTTTTATCGCCACCAAAAATAAAAACAAATTTTATGACCCCGTCATATCCTGCCTTTGCTGAATACCCACAAAAAGTATTCAGAATTCTGCAAGAGAAACCCTGCAAGTGGTGGATAATATATGAAATTTCTTAAAGCTAACGAACTCGAAAGAAATCGTTTTCTTTGCCTTCGATTATTTAATTTTATTCTGTTTACTGTTTCGGCGCGTGCATTTCGGCAGCTTAATTATGCACTAAAAACGATTTATCAATTAATCATTGTGGCGGATAATTAATTTGTGTTTTTATTTACATTTGCTTTCAGTGTGAATACAAGCTGCCAAGAAACAAATTTAAGAGAAGAAATAAACCAAGACACACTAAGAAGATGGCGCCCACCATATGCTCGGAGAAGAAGCAGCTGCGCGAAACGCGGCGACATCATGGCGTGGCCACAGCCGCCATTTCATCCTCATCGTCAACCGCATCCACCGCATCATCCTCGTCCTCGACCGCGGGATCCACAGCTGCAGCTGCCGCCACACAAGCTAGCTCGGTGCTTAACTATGGTGAGTAAACGTTGGCAATGCGCAGTCAAATGCACTTAGAGAAATTATAAGAGGAAAGTTTACGTCTTTAAGAAATTAAATTGGGAAATTATTAAGAAAATTTTAATATATATTTTTTTAATATCATAAGTCTTAAGACACATATTTCATAAATATTTATAATGAAAACTTAAAACTAATTTGGCTCAGTGCCATTGAACAGTGGTGGGCACACGCGGCGTATACGTAACATTGTCTTACATATTCATTGCAATCTTCGCGTTGTCTGTTATTTTTTGCTTTTCCTTATTTTTGATACCCCTTATTGTCAGAATCCCCTGCTGATTTGCTGATGTCGGTGCTACAACGATTGCTACTAGTCCGGTTTCCAGTTGCCAGTTGGCAGTTGCTCACGTTACTCGGTCATGTTTAATTAATTTATGTAAACTCGGCCACCCACCTCTGTGTTCTCTGAGCTCTGTCCCCGTTTGCCACTTCCTCATTGCCATAACATATATATATATATATATAGATAGATATATACATATATGTGTGGGGCTCAGCTAGAGAGAACTCGAATGCTCGAATGCACGTGCCTTGGGCAATGGGTTCACATTGGGTTCTTCACGTGTTGGCCTCCGGTGTTTTATTGCTGCTAATGCTGCCGATGTTGCCCCAAATGGATGGCACGCGAGTTTCGGGTTATGCCACAACAATTTGCGTCAGCAATTGGCTCCAGCTGCTCTGCTCTTCCGCCTGCGTTGCCTGTTGGGTAAGACAGTCTCGGCTCGCAAATCTGGCTGACACATTTATATAAGCGATCTAATGCCGCATGACTGCTATCGAAATGGATATGGGCTCAGTTTGAGCTCTGTTTCCCATTTATAACAATAGTCAGGGTGCTCAGTATTAATACTGCCATTATTCTCTTCTGCTCAATATTAAGCTGTTTAATCTCATCAGAAATTTGATATATCATTCTTATTTTTAGCAGGATTATGCATTTTCTTTCGAATATTTTATTTTTATCCAGATCCAGATAATGGTAAAAGTATGGAATGCTGTAACTCGTTAAATTAATCTGTTAATTAAATTTCTATTATATTGGCATTCATACTATAGAATAATTTTTCTAGAAAATTTTTGATGAAATCCCTTATCAAAATTAAGAAACTAGGTCTACCCCGTTTCTACCCAAAAAAAGAAATTAATTGTTTTTTCCCGATTTTTCCCCAAATTGAAACTTTTTTTCTCATAGCTTAGTCAATAATGGTCCGAATACAAATTGGAATACCTCGTTGAGCTTGTTTTCCAATTCATAATCGAACTGCGTTCACAGTTTAAATTGTGAAATTTTTGCCATTTTTTTGCAAATTTTGATGATGTGACCCCTTATTAAAATATCAAATTTGGATGGTCCCAATTTCCCCTCATAAGCTGAAGTATTTCCCTCATAACTAAGCCAAAACAGGTCCAAATATGGAATGGCATAGCTCGTTGAGTTTCTAATTTGATTCTATGTAGATTTTAGGCCTGCAGATTCAAAACAGGAAAAGTAAAATTTTGGCCATTTTTTGCAAAAATTGATGATGGTACCCCTTATCAAAAATGCAAAAATTTACAAAAAATGGATTTCATCCTATCAGCCTCAAATTTATAGGGTTATAAGTACTGCTCGTAAGCTTCACAAAACTGATGTTCTTTTAGCTGTACGTCTTGTTTTGGAAAAAAATGAAAAATGCAAGTTTTGGTTTTCCTCACTTGTTTTCTCAAAATTACAGTATTTTCCTCATAAGTAAGTCAATAATGGTCCGAAAATGAAATGTAATACCTCGCTGAAGTTGTTTTTTAATTCCTACAATTTCTGTATTCAAGGTTGAATTATTGAATATTAGGAGCTAATACCAAATGCTTAACGACCATACCACTTCCTCTTAAAGTAGATAGTCCAAGTAGCCTTCCAACAAGGCAGAACTTAAAAACGACTAACTAAATCCGATTAATTAATTATGTCATAATTTTATAGCCTTAAGTTCTTAAAGAGTAATTTTTGTAGAAAAATTCACACAGCCCTGGCAAATGATGGCCAATGATTACTCATTAGCCAAGTGAAATTGCACGAATATTTACCTAGATTTTTTCCAAGAAATATTTCACAAGCACACGAAGCCAGGGGCGTCGGCCAGAAAGGGGGCTTCCACATAAGTGTGTGTCATAACCTCCAGGGCTGTTGTTGTTTCTGCTGCTGTGCCACTTTTGCCAGGGCTTTATTTACATGTTTTGCACATTTGCTCCGCTTGCTTTTAGCCAAGTTTGCTGTTTTTTTTCGCCTCTTTTTTTTTTTTTGCTTCTGCTGCTGCTGACTTTATTGGTGCCATTTTCAATGTGAATTCATTGAAAGCTCCGCTGTTGTTGTTGCCAATGCCGACGTTGTAGCCTTTTTATTTGTGCTCGTTGCTGCCTGCTAATTTGCAGCAACACATAAAAATAAACCGAATGAAATACACCGACACACGTCTAAAATAAAAATGGGTGTGACGAGGCCACGTGCAAGCCTCTTGACGATTTACACCGCCCTGCCTAACCTTCTCTGCTTTCTCTGGGAAGGTGGTCTTCCTTTTCGAAATGGGCGTGGTCGAGGGGGGTTGGAATGTTGGCCAATGCCCTCGCCCTCTGCCTTCACTTAAGGTATTAAAAAATTTTTTATTTTCAAGCATCACCGGTGACTAATTCACCGACAACGAAACGAGGCACGTGCAATCACACAGCGATGACGAAGCCAAAAACAGGCCAGCGTAAAGAATCATCTTAATTTACAAGAGCACTTCGAGAAAATTCAAGTACTTTTTGGATTCTTTTTAGATATATATATATATATATGAAAGAGCCAAAAGAGTTATAAAGGAAAAGTGGCCTGAACTTGTTAAGTTAATTACTAAAGCTTATGGTATTTCAGATTATTTACTTTGTAACCTACAAATAGCTAACCTGCTAAAAATAAACTTTGGAATGCCAGCAAGAAATGTATTATAAAAAGAAGTTAAAACTCCTTAGAGGGAAGTTATTTTTAAGATTCGTGTACAAGTTTTTGGTTTGATAACTCGCGAATGGAATTTTTGCCTCTGTGTGGCAATTGCGAAATGCAATTCCGAAACAAAACAACAGTCACCGAGTTAGATAAGCGCAGGCAAAGGCATGTGCTTTGTTCTTACAAGGAAAATAAAGCGTGTGGAAACATATTTTATATAGATTGAATAATGATACATAGGGGGACAATGTTGGAACACAGGTTATATAGTATTAAGTTCAAGAATTTACTTTATATAACTTTTGTGTAAGATGAAAGAACATTTGAAGAAGCACTTACCTCCAAAAATAATAAAATTTTTGAACGGTTATAGTATAACGTTTTCCAAAAAGTTTTTTAATTCGGTTCTAATTTTTACAAAATTTACATTCATTAATTTTCTTTAAAAAATTATTTCAAACTTTCAAAGGATACCCGTTTTTATTTTTTTGCACTTTCCATTTCAACCTGAGTAGGTATTTTTTTAATGTAAAACATTATATACACTTTAAAGTTACTTACACTTACACAAAAACACAGAAACAAAGTTCTTACCCAATCATGGATTCAGAATCAATAGAAAGTTTGGGTAACATGCCCGAGTGCAACAAGCGGCTGTTGAACGAGATTGATCCCATATCCCGGACTTCAAAATGCGATAAAAGCGTTAAAGAGATCTTCGATGTCGATGAGCCGGTCAGCTTTTCTTCTATGGGAGAAGAGGAAATGGAAATTCTGGATCATTCTGAGCTGTCAACAGACGATATAGATCGGGCCATGAAGCTCGGTCACGATATTGATTGCCTGATTCGACAGATTGAGGTCATGCAGATAGCCATTAGGAGACGTCAAGTTAAGGAAAGTAGCGAAATGATCAGTGAAAAATCGGAAGAACCTTATGTAGAAACCCTAACCAAGGCTCAAATGCAATGCAAAGAGATTGAAAATCAAGAAAAGGAAAATGACTTTAAAATCAAGGAGCAGACTTTAACCAAATGGCAGCCACTGAAAGATGAGGAATTACTGAAAGCGAGAAGCCTTCTTCAAGCCCACCATCGCCTGCAATGTGAAATAGACGAACTGATCTGCAGATATCGAAAGCTCAAAGAAGTCATTACAAAAATGTATCGAAATACCCGCTGCATGAGGGTCAATATTAAGGAACTGATCTCAAAAACCAAGGACGAACTTGCCTGGGCTGATGAAGTGGCCAAGGAGATACAGGTGTGCCATGATAGATTCACCTACCTAAGCCAAGCGAAGATGTCCAAACGCGAGGGAATCAAAACTGTCAGAGTTCATGCCGATAGATTTGAAAAATTGAACGATGCCTATCTAAGGAAAAGTCGCCTAAAACACGACATATTCGAGTTATCTGAAGAGTCAATCGATCTTTTGCAATTCATGAGGGATATCCTCCAGGAACTAGACCGTAATATGTCTATATTTGGATCTAAAAGCGTGAATAGGAAGGAAAGTCTAATCGAATTTTTGGAATCTTTAACCGTGGCATCTAGTTTGTGTAATAAGTTTCGTGATTCTTTAGATAATCTACAAAGGGGTGATGAATAAATTTTACTGAACTAAAAAAGGAAGAAAAGTAGCAAAGCATTATCAAAAGATGACTAACGCTGGGAGCTCAATAATAAATGTTGTTGAACAAAAAAATAATCTTTTTAATTACTGAAATAGAATAATTTTCTCATTTATTCCCCAAGGAAATCTCCACTGGCTTTGTCATAATTCCTACGTCACTTTCCCTCTCATTTTCCATGCCACTTCCTTGAGAACGTCATCAATGGGCTTGTCGCCTTCTGGGAGCCACTCTCACGTTTCGCTGCACTTGGGTTGGGGCAGCGGTATCGCGTAAGCTCTATTTGCCCAACTGGCGAAACAGTTCCATTCCAAACCGAGCGATTCCACTGTGTGCAGTGCCATGTGCAGCGTTAACTTCCAGGCGACGCGTCATGACCCTGACCATAGACACACTCGATTCCAAATCGTTTCGTAGGGGAAATGTGAGCTTGTATATATATATGGGTGCACTCGGAAAAACAAGCCGAAGGCTAGAAAAAGCTTCAAGGCAGTATACACTTTGTATACAGATATAAGTTTTTTACTGAGAGAGCCATTTCCTTTATTTATTAATTGATTATTTAAATATCACAACATTTTTGGTTTTTAAATGTGTAAATGTAATCCTTAATCACATGTAAAATATTAAAAAATATTTCACGACCCATTTAGCTTTAAGTTTTTTTTGCTGTGTTTTAGTTTTCGTGACTTCCAACAGCTGATGATTGCAAATGAGCGTTGCAAAAGCGTTGCGACTGCGAATTGATGCGAAACGCGTTGTTGTCGCCGGAACGCTTAACCCTGGTGCTGGTCACGTTTTTTGACCACACGCGATGCCCACATTTACATACCAGAAACCCACACACAGCCACTTTCCCCCCCACACACACACACAAACCATAGCATAGGCTATAGATTGAGACATCGGTTGACAACCCAGTGATAAGCTGAACACTTGACCACTCAGCTGCACCGTGGGCTCTGGCAAACTGCTGAGTTTTTTTTTTTTTATATAGTTCAGGAAATGAGTTTAATTTTAGACCTCATTTTGTAATCCATTAATGGGTTTTCAATCGCTTTAATTTGCTTACTTTTTATTATTCATATACAATGTATCACAATGTATCTGGTATTTAATTACACATTGTTTATTTACTGGGTCGGTTTGCTAAATATGATTCTTATAATAACTTAGTTATGACTTCATTAGCTTATTTTTATATATAATGTAAACTGATTAAACTTTAGAATGCTGTCCAGTTACATAGTAAAATTTAAATAAAATTAAACAAACTTTAGCTCACAGTAGAACCTTCCAGCTTTTCCTTTGTTCTCTTACTAAACTTTTTCTTTGTTTTTGCTCTCTTTTTTTCAATTTACAGTGGCCAAAGGTTCAATGAACTCGACGAGTCGCCGTCGACCTGTAAGATTGCAACGAAGGATGCCGCACATCCTGGCACGCGTGACGTCCTTCTCCACGGACACGAGCAGCGGCGTGGAAACGGAGGTGGAGATGGACACCGAGCAGCGGATGCAGCTGGACGAGGACAGCTATTCGGACGCCAGGATCCAAGTTCTGCAACAACAGCCACATTCCAGCAGCGACAACAACATCAAGACAGTATTACAGCCGACGACGGCTAGTGGCTATAATAGCAAACACAACCGATCGGCAAAGGTCAAAATCTGTGATCGGGAGGTGCCACTCCAGATGGAGGACGACGACGATGGCGACAGTGGGTATGAGTACAGTCAGGATCCGATTAAGGAGCAGAACCTGTATAACCAGAATAGCGAAGGTCTGCTGTCCATTGCCATCAAGACCATCAAGCTGGTGCAACGCAATAAGCTGCTGCAAAAGCGATTGGCTCAATTGCAGCTAGAGACCTCGGAGTTCATTGCCTCGGTGCTGGCCAATCCGGAAAATCGCCAATTTCGGGAGAAAATCTCGACCAAATCAGAGCCGAAGGTCAGCAACATGCTGCTGCGCCACTAAAACGGTGGTTTTCTTTTTGATCTGGAAATATCGAAACATTTAAGCCCCTTTTCTGGACGTTAAAGAGTTAAATTTCAAGAAACTTAATACAAAAGCTGAGCGAATTACATTTTATTTATTTATTTAAATTAAAATTCCAAAGCTAAACTTGGCAACATGTTGCAGCAACATTGAAAAAGGCTCATACAATTATATTGCCTACTTTTAGGCTGCGTATGTAAAGCTCATACATACATGGAAAATACTTGTAAAAGCGGAATACCAAGAAAACAAAAATATTTAAAATTATTTCAGGCCTTAATTTTTGTGTTGTTAAAGGATAAACTATTTAAAAACCCTATTAATATTCTATAATTATTTATTCCGTTTTCACGTCCAGAAACTCCATTTTAAGGCGGCTTAGTTTCAAAGAATTCGTACTGATTAAATTTACAAAAAAATGCATCAAAGTTTAACAATTTAAATATATACAACATCGCTATGCTAACATTTACAAAAATGAAAATATTTATATGAATCCAAAAAGTCCAAAAGTGTATCTGTAGTCGTTAAGTACATTTTATGTTTTACAGTTTCTACACTCAAGAATTAATTTATAATAAATCTACCTAATACATATATCTAGAAGAAAAACCAGGCATAATCAATGGAACCCTACGACGCTTTTCGCTTTTTACAACAAATAGTCTTAGTGAAAATTGATTGACATGCAAAGCAATTGGTTTAAACAAAAAAAATACGTAAATGATTTTCGGTATTAGTACACTTAACCGATATATATATATTTCAATGACTATGCCTAAGAATATATATAAACGGAAACTATCAAAATGCTAGAAAGCAACGCAAATCAAAGGAAAACCAAAATACAAGCTATCCTAAAAGCAAATCTTTCCAATTCTAAAACGTTTAATCAACTCAACTTAACTGGCATTCTTCGCATACTTAAAATTATATCAAAATCATCCAAACTCACCCACAAAAGATTTCATCAATAAAATTAGTGACAAATTAAACATACTCCGAACTTTGTACTTATTTCATCTTTGGGGTTTCTTGACTTGCGGGCAACCCGTAAATAAGTAAACAAGTCATGGCTAAGTGTGTACTTTGGCCGTGTCAATAACACCCAATCAAAGCGTTCAAAGACCGTCTCGGCTTGCACAGATTTGACATGGAGTCTGTCATCGAATCGGTCACGCAGGCATGGCTGTTCTGGAAAACGTTAAGAAAGAGTAGGGTTTTTGTGTAGAAAAACATATGTTGTTGTACCATAAAAAAGAACTAATTGGTAATGATATCAAATTATTAACGCTAAAAATAATATTCTTCAGCATTCTTTCCTGTTAGGAAACATATTTGTTTTAAACTTGATTTTTGATTAAACATTTTCAGAACTCCCTCCGCTGATTGTCGGGTGCAATGCATATCCATTCAATGCTCAGAAAATTATTCAGCAATTGTTTCAAGTTCATTCAATTAACTCGGTCCTCCTTAGCCCGGCTTAGACCTTTTGAGTGTCATTTGTCGATTTGGATTTTGTTGATGATGATGATGATTATGATGATGCTGGTGGTACACCCATGTCAGCACGTCGGCCAAGTCTCCACTTGGCTTTTATATTTTTGGCCACACACTTGACACTCGAAGTACTCGGTGTAGGTTTCAGGCAGTTTCTGTTTCAGCCCTCAGATGCGTAATCATAATTTGACCGAAACGCTTGTGACGTTGGTCAATAATCGCGCTGCGTTTATGGCATTGTGGGGGCTCGGTGCTCCATCACGGGGGCTATTATTATTATTATTGTTAGTTTACAGGCATTATATTGTTTTATTGGGTTTTTTACGCACTCTGGTCACGTCTTCATCTGTTTGAGACACGTGATTTATGGGGTACCAAGTACTCGGGCCACCCAGCCCACTTGACACTGAAGAGTTTTTGTTTTTTATTACCCAAAGCCGGCAAACGGTGCAGAAACTGTTGATTTGTGTTTATTTTGATGGATTCGGATTTGGATTCGTTGTATTTGGTAATTTGTATTATTTGATATCCGTCTGAGCAGCCACCGTTTATTGTTGTCTTTGGCTGCCGAGCGTTGAATCGCCAACATTTGTGTATCAAATCAGATCGCTGAGCTGGTTACCTTGGCAAGGTCGTTTTCCTAAGTGCCTTTGGGGAGTGTTTGTCCAAGCGATTAAAATTTATAAAATTAGTACTGAGTCTTATGAAGTGGCCTATAAATAACATTCGCACAGCCATTAATTTTAGCTGGCTAAAATGCATTTGTGTTTTCTCTGTTTGCTTGAGCCAATTTTTGACACTAAGCGCTGGCATTGGAAACTATTTGAGTTTGCTAATTTGCAAATCAAGTAGCTAGAATGTAAATTTGTTGGCAAACATTTTATGGGTGATGTGCTAATTATGAGAAGGTTCTTTACAGATTTATGGAGTATATAAAATATTTGAGCGTTCAAGTATAAATTTTTTGAATATTTTTATTTCTACTTACTGAAATTATGCAGACTCATTTTCTGCTCTAAAGCAGCTATCACTTTTTTTGGGAAAACCAGCCAAGCGATTATCCATGTTCGGCTTTTGTTTAGCAGTTAAAATTTAATTAGCAAGTCGCATTGTTTCCAGTCTTTGATCTTTAATCAATTATGAGGTCTCGAATTGAGTGGGTAGAGCACTTTGTGGAGTACCTGTTTGAACTCCATAGAAGTGATTGAGCCCGGCTATTTTACTATTGCCAAGTCATGCAAAATGAATATGCATAAAATCTGTTCAAATATCAAATAAAAAAAAACCAATGCAAACTGCATTGGGACTGTGGCTATAATAAGAAATAAAAGCCAAAAAAAATGTCTTGTACTCAAGGTCACATTTTATTTTGCGATTCACCGAAATCGCCAAAAATTAGAGGAAAAAATGTGGATATTGTGAAAGTATCTGCGAAATCGGGCGAGCTAGAGCCAAAAACAGAAAAGTTTGTTTAGTTGGCCATTAAAGAAACGATTTGGCTGTTGTTCGCATGCAAATGAGTCTGGGTCAAGCGTTTGTAATCCGCTGAATGCCATCTTAATGATGACCACCAGCTGGCTCATGTAACCCAGACGATCTGTTAAGGTCATCCATCTGCGAAGCCGGAAAAGCGTCACTCCAAGCCATGACATTGAACTTCAACAGCAGTCCAATGACTCGTTCCATTTTATGTAGTAGTAGTAGTAGCTGGGCTTCCAAATAATAATTCGACAAATCGAAAATAGTAAACAGTAAACTGCGGAAGCACTTTAATTCACCTACTTGATCTTTCGCACCTCCGCGCTAATATGTCGGCGACAAATCGCTGATCACCGACTTGTCCAGCATGATTAGGCTTACGATCAGCGAGATGCTAATCAATATGCAGCAAATTCCCCAAAAATAGCTCGTAAAATGGCCGAATACAAATTTGCAAGTTCACCCGATGAACTTGAAAAAAAATAGGTGGTCCATCGTGGATATGTTTTCTTGTATCTTGTATCTTTCTTTCGTGATCGCTCGAACGTAACGCTGCGTTGACCGACTAGCCCGGCAGCTACCCGTGTTGTTAACTGAGCTTATTTTTTTTTTTTATTTTTTTTATTTTTGATCTCGCATAGGCTTCAACGTTGCAGGCCGGGCAGTAAAGTTTCATTTAAGCGCCGGACATCAGCGGGCGCGCATGCGCCTTTGTAAGATAAATCGGTGAATCGATCCGGAATACCTGTCAATATTTGTGGTCCATTTTTATTCAGAGCATTTCGTAAGTGCATTCTATAATTTTGCATTTTGGATTTTGCATTTGGAAAACGTGTTTAGAATTTCATAAGAGAATTTGTGACAATTTGTTGGCCTAAAGTGCGAGTGTGTGTTCAAATCTGGTCTGCTGACGTTAACTCTATATATATATAGTGTCTATATACATTTAGCAAGTTGTTATTTAGTGAGAACTAGTCAAGTTTCTAGGCAAACAAAAATGCAGTTTGTGGTTTTTCGGATAATGAAATGCATTTGTGTTGCGGCTTAAAAAAGGAATATTTTGTGTAACTTTGGAATTTGTAGTTTTACGATGTTTGACATAGTTTATTTTTTAATTATGTTTTGTTTTTGTTAAGCATTTTAATACAAAACGATTTCAGCTTATGGTCTAGCCAGTATTCAAAATATTTTAGCATAAACATAAACGTTAATTAAACAATAAACAGTAAGGTACCAAATTTGTGAGTTTTTAAGAATATACTTTATAAAATTTAAATTGTTTTGGCTTCCTACTTATTTTTGTTAATAATATTCAACATTTTTAAACATATTTTCTAGCCAATTATTTTATATGCAATATATTGTGCTATTATCACCTTTATTAGCTTGATGATTTTGTTGATGATATTTTTTAGGCAGCGCGCAACCGCAATGTGTTAATCCCTGCTAATAGGCCACTGTATTGCTCACAAACCCAATTAACTTTAAAATCAGATTTGAACAAATTTCATGTTATAGTTATCGAGATCTTCGGGCGGCACGTCTCAGCCAATTAAGCCCGGTTTAATGACCCGCATTGATTGGCATAACGTTGATAGCCAGAACCTAATGAATACAACGCCCTTCGGCAGGCGGGCCAGAAAGTGAAACCGGCTTTATGTAGTTCTGTAATCGTCGTAACCGATCGAGTGGATCCAACCGCAAGGCCAAGGCCAAATTATAGAACTTAACTGGACAAAGACAAAGCCATGGGAATCTCTATATTTAAACGATCGTTGAACCAGTTTTCAGCTTGGCTACTGTATTGACTTCGAAATCGAAATTCACTTCGACTCATTCAACTACTTGCCGGCTCTATTGAGGTTAATTGAAATGATTTATTAACATTTGTGCAATTTTTTGGTTGGCGCTTCGAAAAAAACCCCAAATTGAGATAATTTGCATAAAAATACATTTGGCGCCCACATCTTAAAGTAATTTAATTTCAACGTTTTTAAAAAGTTTTCTGTTTTTGCTGTTTTTATGAACATCCGCGTGCGGTTTATGGGTCAACGCTTAAATATTTGCTACGTCTTGGCGATCGATTTATTTTGATTTTATTTGCAATGTTTGCTTTGATTTGGTTTCTTCTTCATATTGGTTTTGTTTTGACCACGAACCGGTTGGCTAGTATTAACTTAATTTCGCTCCTTTTGCAAAGTCATTATTTTTATTGGCACTTTTGAATTTTTCTCGTTTTCTTGTAACCCCAAAACCTGTTGAACTTGAGCTCAAAACGCGTTCGGGACGAACTAAAGTCGATCGGTCGTGAATAGCACTCAGAACATAAAAAAAGGGGCAAAAAGTGAAATCGTTCTCAAGGTCGATGCAATTTATGTTTGACTGATAATTGGAAATTCTGTAGGCTTTAGACTTTCTTTTTCTCAATGTTTATGTATTTTGTTAGGAAGTACTGAACGTTGCACTGCCTGTATTTTGTCATAAATTATGGGAATAAAAAAGGTTTACAAAAAGCGAGCTTTTGACATTTTAATGGCGTGGAAACTAATAACTTTAATTTTTAACAAGGTTTTTTCATAACTACAGCCTATAACCATTACAACAGTTAGTAAAAATAAAATATATATTTTTAACTTACACTTACAGATTAAGACAAGATGACAATACTTGGACTTTTATTTCTCTGCCTGTGCTCCTTTCAAGCCTCCAGGTCCCAACTTCTTGTGGACTTGGCTCGCGATTTTGAGACTTCTTTGCTGAACAATCGGATCCCCGACACCAAACGTTTCCTGCCGGAATATGACTTCATCATTGTTGGAGCAGGAAGTGCTGGTTGCGTCCTGGCCAACCGACTCAGTGAGATCTCCTCGGCTAGCGTTTTACTCTTGGAGGCCGGTGATCAGGAGACCTTCATCAGTGATGTCCCTTTGACAGCAGCTCTCACGCAGATGACCCGCTATAATTGGGGCTACAAAGCAGAGCCCACGGAACACGCCTGTCAAGGATTAAAGGATGGAGTTTGCAATTGGCCCAAGGGTCGTGGCGTGGGTGGCACTAGTTTGATCAACTTTATGCTATATACCCGTGGTCATCGCAGGGATTATGATGAGTGGGCAGCGGCCAATAACTCAGGTTGGTCCTACGACGAAATTTTGCCCTACTTCAAGAAATCAGAAAGGATTGGTATCCCAGAGCTCTACAAGTCACCCTATCATGGTCGCAATGGACAGTTGGATGTGCAGTATACGGATTACAGGTCTCAGCTTCTGAAGGCCTTCCTAAAATCTGGCAGGGATATGGGTTATGATATAACAGATCCCAATGGAGAACATCTAATGGGATTCGGTAGGTCCCAGGCCACCATTCGGAATGGCAGGCGGTGCAGCACTAGCAAGGCATTCATACAGCCGGTGGTTCATCGAAAGAATCTGCACATCTCCATGAAGAGCTGGGTCACCAAGTTGATCATCGATCCGATTACTAAAACAGCCACCGGAGTGGAGTTTGTGAAGCAACGGCAACGATTTGTGGTGCGGGCTAGAAAGGAAGTGATCCTTTCTGCGGGAACCATTGCCAGTCCTCAACTTTTGATGTTATCCGGAGTGGGTCCAGCGGAGCATCTTAAAGAGCACAATATTACAGTGACACAAGATCTGCCAGTGGGTTATAACCTCCAGGACCACATAACATTGAATGGTCTGGTGTTCGTGGTCAATGATTCAACGGTTAATGATGCTCGTCTACTAAATCCCTCGGATATCTTTCGATACATCTTTGCGGGACAGGGACCGTATACCATTCCGGGTGGGGCCGAGGCATTCGCATTTGTAAAGACTCCTAGTTCCAAATTTGGTAAATATTTTAATGAAGTAGACAAAGATTGTAGGTTACTTATTGATTTTTAAATATTTACAGCTAAAGATTACCCTGATATGGAAATAGTTTTGGGCGCTGGATCCTTAAGTGGCGATCGTTTTGGCACCATGCGTAATTTGCTGGGAATCACCGATGAGTTCTACGACTATATGTTTGGCGATCTGCAGAACAAGGAGACTTTTGGCTTAGTTCCCGTACTCCTGCGACCCAAAAGTCGGGGTAGAATATCGCTGCGTAGTCGTAATCCTTTCCACTGGCCCCGAATGGAGCCAAATTTCATGCAGCATCCAGACGATGTAAGAGCTATGATCGAGGGAGTCCAAATGGTAAATATTGTGATTCTGCCTTTAAGTTTTTCGTTAACTTATTTCCTTTCTTTTCCAGATATTGAAGCTAGCCCGATCGAAGCCCATGGTGAAGATGGGAACTCGTTTCCATGATCGCCCTTTTCCGGGATGTGAACACCTGAAATTCGCCAGCGAGGAGTACTGGAAATGCTGCCTGCGAAGATATGGTTCCAGTTTGCAGCACCAATCGGGGACCTGCAAGATGGGCCCAGCTGCAGATAATACTACAGTAGTGGATGCTCAACTCAGAGTCCATGGCATACGAGGATTAAGGGTGGTGGATGCTTCTGTTTTGCCCAATGTTCCAGCTGGTCACACGAATGCCATTGTGATAATGGTTGCCGAGAAAGCATCGGATATGATTAAAGATGCCTGGCGCATGAAAATCACACCCTTGGATTCCTGAATCTATACCGAAGTTCATTATTTATTATTTAGTTCTCGCACAAGTCAATAATTTAAGTTCTCATGTGATAGTTAAGATAGTTTTTAAGTCGATCATTGGCTTGTAATTGGGGTATCTATAAATCCGTTTATTTGTGATTGGTGTAAGGAATGAATATTTATTCAATGCACTGAATTAGTTCTTATTAAATAAAGTTATTTGATAATTTATATAAGTTCAAAATAAATTGAATTGAAAGGATTTATAATTCGGTTTGATTTGTCTTGAAAACGTTTTCAAATGTCGCGCCAAATCGATTAGCTTTTGAAAGCCTTGTCATGCTGTATTGATAAATCAGTAAGCTTTTGTTGCTTAGAGGTTGAGCTTTTAGAAAAATAAAGTTGCCAAAAATAAAGAAAAGTGTTTAAATGTTTTTCCTAAATATATTTTTTTGGTTAAGTTATACTTTATAAATTCCTTTTTTAAAATAATTTTTCTGTGTTTTAAGCTTTTTACATAAATTTACAGCTTCTTGTTTTTACGCCTTGCCTTACCTTCAGAAAACGTTAATGGTGGCGTGTTTTACGTTTTCTGAGCTTTACGTTTCGTAATGGCTTTCGTAAGGTAAGATGTAAACTAAAGTAATGCCCAAAATCCTAATATTACTTAGAAAAATATATCAGCTGCTAGCTAAGACTAACCCTAAATGTAGTTTCCTCTGTTACCAAAATAAGCAATGTCACGCACAGGCATATTTGAGTTCACATGGGACCCAGCTAGAGGCTAATACCAATGGCTTTGCGTGCTCCGCTGAGGATTGTTTTTAATGACCGCTCGCCGGGTAATTGCTGACCTCCCCCTTAGGAACTGAGGAACATAGGAGCAGAGACAAAGCTTCTGCCTAGCAACCGTTGCGTTTTAGAGGTTCCTTAACCCGGCCATAAAGTTAACCCACTTTGTCTGGCCACAGCTCTATATGTGGCCATGGCCACGTGGCGTATGAGGAATAAGCTTAATGAAATATTAAAAAGTTAGGCGGGAGTTAATTTATATAGTTGTTTTTAGAGCTGATGGTGTTTTATTATTGAATTTGCAATACTTCCAACAATTAAGAGGGAGAAATAATTTCCATTTCCAAGATAATTTTCATTTGACTTTTTATCTTTACTTTCTACTATGAAAATTGTTATCCTTTGAAGCATAAGTATTTATTAAGAAAATACTTTGGAAAACAAATAATTCAAAGGCCTAACCTTACCTTCCTATCACCCGATTGGCATGGCTTAAATACTTAAGCCCACCTTAACAAACGGGTATTATCGAGCGTTGCCTTTGGGCTAGATTTGGCATATTTGCGGTGAAATATTTCTGCGGGTGTGGACCAGGATGTCTGTTGCTGCCATTCTGCTTTCCATTCAAATTACGCCGATGGCAATGCCTGTGGTCATAGGTCAACAATGCGACATTTTGGGGCTCGGATTCCCAATACACGCTGTCAGCCACAAAACAATCCAATTACGCCCTCGGTTCAGTGCAATTTTCGAGCTAATTGATTTCGAAAATACTGGAGTCTCTAATGAAATGGAACCCGGAATGGAAAAGATCAGGTGATTTCGTAATTGAAAGTCAGTAAGGTAAAAAAATAAAATCAATTTAAAGTGCTCGATTCCTTTTATTTTTTCATTTCACCTGAGGTTGCTTTCAAGTCCTTCCTCAGGACATTTCAAGCCAATGTTACTTATCTGTTTGTTTTTTTTTACTTTCAAGCTTTTGCCACAAAAAAAAGAGGGTAAAACGGATGTCACTCAAGTGGAGCAACTTAAAGATAAGACTGGAAAATGTTGCACTTAAGAGCAGAGGGGCAAACGTCTGCTTCTTTTCATTGCATGCAAAGCAGCTCACTGGGTTTTTGCCATATCTTCCGTGGCTGATCTAATTAGGAATCTTATGACGTGAGAAGGCGACTGAATGGGTCATAGAATGCCATGCTCCATGAACTGTGCAATCAGGGGCAAGCTATTTCTACATATATACTTGACAACATTTTCCATGCAGTGTATCATTTTCCTCTCATTCCTCACATGCTTCGCTGACCTTTAAAAGATTCAGTTTCTCAAGGCAGATGGAAGGAGATATGCTATGATATATGTGTTGCTAAATAACTACTATCATATTTCGCTTAAGTCGTTAATCTTTAAGGCTATAGGTATAAAATCATCCACTTAATGAAATTGAAAACCCTCTTAGAATATACCAACCAGCTTAGCCATTCCGGTAATGGTTTAAAAACTTTGTTTTTGCAACATTTTGTTTCTTATTTTTGTATTTTATGCACGGCTTATTTGCAAAAGTGCTCGAAGCCCTCGAAGAATGCAACGGAAACTGAGAAGAGTTGTAAAGTTGGCCAGAGAAAAAAATATTAAAAGTGGCCAGTAAGGTCTCAGGAACTGACCAGTCAAAGGTTTAATGAAAGGGGATACAACGTTCCGGCTTAGTAGTTACTTTAAAAATGTTTCGCTAGCAGGAAAGGAAAGTTTGGCCAGAGCAAAAAAAACCGGCAAAAAAGGAAAGTTGGATAAAAGTTGGCAGCTTTTGTGTGCAAATATTTAGCACGGAAATTGCACTTGCAACAGGAGAAGTCCTTGAAAAGGAAACCAAAAGGATGCCTGGTGTGATAATTAAATGCGCACAAGAAGCCGAGCGAAACTTTTGAAACCGAGCTGCGGTATGTAGCGACTAATTGCATTAAAGTATAATGAATCAAGAAAGACTTTTCAATTTGTCACAGTGGCTAAATGGTTGAATTACTTAATAGAGCTTTTTTGCATAACGAAATCGCAGTCAAAGTTTCGTTTCAATATAATAAATGTGATACGGAAAAGTGAAACTTTGCACACTTTCGTAGAAAGTTATTCCTGTTTGTAAGGAAAAATTGGCTCAACATATGTCGGTGTCAAATGCCTACAGAATTTTGGCGAGTTTACGAGGCATTTCAAGTTAAAGTCATTTGGCAAAGTGCACGTCAAGGCGGTAAGTGCTCGAAAAATATGGCAGCCTAGGCCAGGAGGGCGTTATAATTTATGATAAGCCAATAAAAATAATTGAAAAACATTAATGCCATGCCGCCTGAGACTGGCAGCGGTTAATGGCGAGCATTGAACCCAGAGCAGAGCCAGGCCCACAAAAATGTCCTTGTCTGGCTGAAACAAAAGGCAAAACTCCCCCTGGCTTCTTCATCGATTTCTTGGCCAAAGAATCGAAGTGAAATCGGAGCTGGCACTAACCAGGCTACCGGAATATTCAAGTAATGGCTGGCAATAAAAAACGGAGCCATAAAAAGCCGAAGAGAGCTGAGGCAGAACAAGTCAAAGTTGAAGGAGGCCTCCTTGAGTACCGAGGCTGAGTGAAAGGTTTTGAAATAAATAAAATATTAGATGCGGAAACTGCTGCCTGTATTGATTTCAAATAAAGTCGATCTAATGGTTAACAAAAATTTGTTTCTTACTCTTTATGCGATGACAACACAAATTGTCTATTTGGAATGGTATTATTTTTAGCTCTTTTTAATTAAAACTCTTTAAGTTGGTTTCCGATTAATTATATACATGTTAAATTTAGACTGGGCTTAATTTCGGAAAAGTGGTAGTGCTCATCCTACATCTTACCCCTTTGGCTGTCAAAATGACAGGCACCTGACAGGAGGTCGAAAGGAATGACAAACATTCTGCTGATGCGTTGGCAGAAAGTTTCTGCCCCTGACGGCCACATCAAAGAACATTCTGTTCGACAAAAACTTTGATTGAAAGTCCAACAAAAAGGAGTGCATTGTTTGGCCAAGATAAACTGGCTGATTGAGTGATTGGCGCAAGTTTGTCACTCTCAAATCTCCCTGTCATTCATTGATTGTGTTGAAAAAGCCAAAATGGTTTTTAGACTTTAAATCTTAAACCAAGAAAAGTTCTATGAAACCCCATGAAACAGACATTAGCTAATTAAAATGGTAAGAAATATTTGAAAAGAAGCAAAAGGGTTTACCACATAATTTAATCTAATTTATGAGTAAAAATCCTTTTAAGACTTAACCCATTCTGGGTTTCTTTAATCTTTTTGGCAAAACGAAAACGAAACTTTTAAAATATAATATTTAAGCAGCGTCAGCAAATTGTGTCTTCGGATTTCAGTTCATAAATCAAAACCCAAAAAACATTTTGATATCCTCTGCGGATATTGCTTTATTTTATTGTTGAGTTTTTCAACTCAGCTAATGCCGTGACTCCCTTGAGTATCTTTCCTTTTGCCGCCCATAAAAGGGATTTCCCGCAGACACGTACGCATATTTTTGGTACTTTTAATGGTGAAATTTATTAACTCCGTAAAAAAGTGGGTGTCTGGGATTACTTTTGAATTATTTATGACTGCCTTTGGTGGCTAATAAATGCCAAAGCCCAGTGAGCACATGATAATAAACATATGATTTGCTTGATGAGATTTAGGCTGATTAACAGCGCAGCCAAATCTCACTCGTTTGGCCAATTAGCGAAACATTTGACTGAATTAATAGGCCGACATGTGGAAAATTGGTCAATATCATCGTCCGACTCTGGGGCAATCAACAATTTTGCTATCCATCGGACGTTTTGGCTCTTGGTGCGGCCTTAATGCAATATAAATGGTAATTTCGTGTTTTAATTCGTCCCGGGTGTCCATATTTGCAATTTCGACTGTTGGTATTTGGACATGGGACATGCTGTGATGCGGCTCGAATTAATTTATGGCTAAATCATGGTTATTGTTGGCTTTCCTAGAGAAGCATAAGGCGAAAAGCCTGTTGCTTTTAAGCATTTAAAGGCAATTATAAAAAACTTTGTCCTTTTGTATTCTCAACAAATGATTTCTATTAAAGTTAAACTATATTTTAACAGCCTTTAAGCCTTTTTAAATGATAATTAATTCAGATTTAATATTCCTGCTGCCTGGTTTACCCTGATTAAATATTCAGCATAACAAAAAGTTCAATGAAAAAAAATAAAAAACAATAAAGCTTTCAAATCTGAAATTTTCTACCCATTTTCCGACTCCCGATTCCAGCTGCTGACATGGGAGGCCAAAGCTAATATTTACTTGCCGTATTTTAAATTAGG